AGACTAGACAATACATTTATACGTCAACAAGGTGCCATAAAATGTGGCTGATTATTGGATTGCAGGATGCATCAAAGAAGAGGCCACAGAGGTCACAGTGCGTACATTCTTGGGAAGTGGCACGAGTGCGTACATTAGTGACTGGATCACTGTCACTGGAACAGCAAGGTGTTGCTCGTCATCTTCTATAGATGAACTTCTATCACAAGGAAGCAAAAGTGATTGGTTGAGCAGCTCAAAGCTGACAGCACCAGGGACTAGCTAATACTAATCCCTTCAGGGATAATCTTGAACACCTGGCCCTTTTAGAACCATGTGTTCCAGAATTTAATTTTGAGCATTGCTGTCGTGGTGTCAACTTGTCTTCATTGGGTTAGCAAAAATAAACTTGTCTTCATTGGAATGTTTAAAAGGAGTGTAGTACTCACCTTCCTTTTCTACTGATTTTTTTACTCATTTTTATTACTAGCGAAAATGTCTTGGCTTTTAGCCTTAAATGACCACAATGCTTGAGAATTTTGGGAAGCAGCAGCTAATAAATCAGTCGAACCATTTGTGCTGTCGTTGTCATCTATCATTTCCGCAGGATGGTAGTACACACTACAGACACAACACAACCTCAGGATATGCAAAGAGTACCACAGTAAAAGCAACAAAACACTTCAACAACAAAAGGCAAAAGTGCTACCTCCCTAGGCCATCTATGTTGGAATGGAGGCAGCGTGCTAGCATGTACTACGCTAGAATGGGATACCCTGTCAATGGGGCTATTTTTTTTTTTTTGAAAAGGAGGATGACCCCCAGCCTCTGCATCAAGCGATGCACACAACCATCAATGGGGCTATTTCATGAAAATTACCGGGTAAGTATGGATCTTTTTAGCATTCAATCAGAACTCACCATGTTAAACAAAACAAAGAGATGAACTACAGTCACAGGTACACTGGTGTTAAGAACAGACGACTGCAATGCACCGCAAAACAGCGACGTTTTAGCAACGCGGGCGAACGGATTCTCTTGACCAAACAGCTTATTAACAATTGAAATTGGGACTTACTGCAGTTTCTCAGTTTTTCCTCGACGAAGCTAAGATGATAGCTCCAGTTGCGCACGGAAAATATGCTGTACATTCACCTCTCTGTTTACGGTATGCTTCTATAGTTCCAGCAAATGTACACGCAGTTCCTACCAGCGCAGGCATTATCTACACAGAGGCGGGGTTATCCACAGAGTTTGCACTTTGCACTGCACACAGCACCAACTCAGCTTGTGATCACATAAAAACAAACTCCTTCGCTATACTGACTGCTTTCTCTCGACCAAATAGCTTCTCAACAATGGCCAGGGCGAACTCTGTCGCAGTCCCTGGGGCTCTGCTAGTGATAAGATTCCCGTCAATCACAACCCTGTTCTCACATAGGCTCTGGTCTGTAAGCAGGTGCGCCATGGGTGGAAATGCCGTCGCCTTCTTCCCCTACAATGATGGAAAATCCTCCAAGTTAGACCAGCTCAGAAGTTATAAAGTGTTTTCTCCAAAATTTGGGAAGTGTCTTTACTGCTATCTCTAGATGAAACAAGATGCCATAGGAACATAATGATTTTTAACACACATGATGTGTTTTTTTGTCATCAAGGTACCTTCAGTAAACCGTGGGGCTCGAGAACATGAGCTGGGGAAGCACATATTGCACCATAGGGTTTACCAGATCCTGCCTGCTTCTTCAGCAAATCAACAAGTTTGTTTGTACTAGCAAACTTTTGAGCACCCGACAGACCGCCCTGGATACAATAGACACAAGTGTAAGTCGAGTACTCTTAAGAATACCACTAGACAAATAAATGAATAGCTCAACAGTTATGTACCGGCATGACAATCAGATCAAATTCCATTTTAGCAGCTTCGTCCAACATCATGTCAGCTATCAGATTAAACTTGTGACGCCGGGTCACAATTTGCAGGGTATCCTCAACTGACGCAACTGTAACATTTGCGCCTGCTCTACGCAAGACATCTATTAAATTAAGAGCTTCAATTTCCTCTGAACCATTAGCAACTGGCACAAGAACCTGCAAGGGATATTACAGGAAAATCTATCACATGTACATCAAACTTAACTCAGATTAAACTCCAGAACAGGTCAGGCCACCATATCAAATCCTGCGGTTTTTATTGTCTTGTTATTGACTCATGTTTATTTTCTCACTAGCTAAATACCCGTGAGTTGCAACAGGGCAACTTTATTCTATTGGTTCAGCGTAGAATTTTTTTGATTGGGATGAGATTGAGATATGCTGCGGGGAGGGAATCCATAGGCAAAGTTACGGAAAGATATGATGTGATTGAGATTGTGTACTTACAACTACGTGATTTGATTTTGTTGTTTACTTGCAAGGGATTTCTTGCTATTGGCGATTAATTTGATTTCTGTTGATTGCTTTGCAAGGGATTTTTCCCCCAAAACGAGGAGGTGGGGGGTCAGTTTGGATATCGTGTGGGTTGGAAAAAAAATTGGTGGGAGGGGTGGAAGTGATGGAAGAGAAACCAATAAACCCCCCTTTAATAGTAGAGATATTTAATGCCAGCACATTTCTTGCTTAATAATCCCATATGAGCCAATTAGTTGCCAACTGAAGACGTGTGTTCCCGAACTATGAATAGTTTACATAAGAACATATAAGACTTTACATTGAGTGGTAACCCAACTATGCTACATGCTTCTGCGCCTCTCCTTCCCCACACCACCCAAATAAATGCACCATAGATCTTATAAGTGGAAGTTTACAATAAGCTTCTTACACCAATTACCATTTGTAACTAATTATTTATGACAGTAACATACCACTTCCGTCTTACATAAACCAGGAATGTATATTTAATGAACAACCATGATCGCTAATACAATTGTAGTTATTACTAATGGGTTTAAGAAACATCTGAATATGTTGTTCTATTCTCAACATTAACAAAAGGTTTGTAATCACACAAGCAGGCTGCAATATGCCACCTTTGCTAAAATGTTTGTAAACAGAAGTAATATAAAATACATGAGTTGTCTGGAAGAAAAGCAGAAGGCAACCTAAGATACCTGAAAACCCTTTTCTTAAAAAGTGGAATTCAATTTCATCGCGTACCTGAGGTGTACCACTGCATTTCCATTCAACTGAATTAAGCTCTTCAATGGTATACTCGGCTCCGTGTTGAGGGCGGACATACTAAATGAAAACAGAGCACCAGATAATGTAAGTTTGAGTCACTGAGATTGATGAAATTTGAACCCAATAAATTCAATTCCAGAATACAAAGAAATTGTAGGATCTTATAAACAGAGATCAATAGATGGTCTTAGTCTTTTAAGGATAGTAGATGAAAGGGTGTCTCCGTTAGCGCATTAGGATCATACCAGCCCTGTAGACCTAACATAATTACAGTGTGCGCTATTTGAAAATTGTAAGGTGAAGCAATAACCCATTCAGATAACTGGTTACATTAAATCACCATGGGTAATTAACAATTTTCAGGTATCACCTATGTGAACAATATCCTTTTATGGTACAGAATCATATATTGAAATTGCCATTTTATTAATAATAAAAAATCAGTAACAAAGCAAAAAAGAAACAGATATAGGGTGCTGCAGTTTATAGCTCACCAAAGGTCCAGCAACCTCCTCCATCTTCTCTTTGTCATATAGCTGCTCCACCAAAGCAAGGGCAAACTCAATTGCCGTTCCTGGACCCTGGCTGGTCACCACATTTCTATCCACCACCACCCTGGAGTTCACAGGGATCACTTCAGCGGTGAACTTCTCCATGAACGACGGGTAGCAAGTCGCCTGAGGTAACAAAGGGCAACAACAATTTGTGAACGCAATTCATCTTTCCGACAAAATCACCCTCACAACAGTCAATTGATCCTAAACGTTGATCAATTATTCACCTTTAAACCTTTGAGCATGCCCCAATGGGCCAACGTCACCGCCGGCGCAGCGCAAATGGCGCCGTAGAGTTCCCCCTTCTCTGCATGCATCTTGACCATCCTCTCGAGTACTTTACATTCTCTAAGATTAGTTGATCCCGGCATCCCGCCCTACACCGAATCAAGCAGCAATACCAAACGATCAGGCCATATGTATCAGCATCTTGATGTTACAGCGAGCGCGCACGCCAATGGAACAGTTAGGCGGACTCGGCGGTTGTTGATTGATTAGGGGAAAAAGGCTGATTGGGAGATTGTAGTCGGAGAGGGGAGTGGTGGACGCACCGGCAGGGCGATGAGGTCGAAGTCCTCGCCTTCGAGGTCGGCGACGCGGGCGTCGGCGACGAGCTTGACCCCGTAGGCGGCCTCCACGAGGAGCCCCTCGTCCCCGGCCGGCGCGGAGGCGACGGTCGCGACGGTGACCCGCGCCCCCGCGCGGTTGAGGACGTCGGCCGTGGCGGCCGCCTCGACCGGCTCCGTGCCGGCCGCGACCGGCACGAGCACCCGCTTGGCCGGGCGGGCGGCGGCTGCGAAGGCGCGGGAGAGGAGCAGGCGGCGGCAGGAGACGGCCCGCCGCGCCAGCGAGGAGGCGGCTGCGGCCATCGGGAATCCGGCCGGGGATCGCGGGGCGAGGATTCTTGCCTTGCTCGGCGGAAAGGTGGTGCGGCGCCGAAGCGACAGTGGGAGTCTCGCCTTCTTGCTTCGCTTTATTTTCTTCCGAGCAGTTGGGGCTGCTGCGAGTATCCTTGATTCCCGTTCTCTTCGCCCTTTTCGAGAGGGATTGATTCCCGTTCTTGGCCGTGCTGAGTGCTGACTTGCCGTCGCTTTTTCTGGATGGAAATGCGGTTGCCGTCGTGTGTGTCAGCGAGTCTTCTCGGTCGCCGTCGTTTTTCTAGATAGAGTAGTGGTAGTGGATCATGCGCTGTACTCGGTTGGTAGTATGCTCCTGCCTGTCGTGCAATTTCTTCCGTGGATAACGATGAATGACTCCCGTTGGGGCGAGGGGCGAGGAACATGTGAGCCTGGCCTCAGTATCCATTGAAAGAAAGCTCAAGAAGAGTCCCGAATTAAGAGCATCTCCAACAGCCGCTCTATAGCGCCGCGCGCAAAAAACCTGTTAGCGCGCGCGCTGCGGCTGGTTTTGCGCGCCGGCCTGCGCTGGCTCCAGCAGCCGCGCCATAATGCAGCGCGCGCGCCGCTCCAGCAGAGCACCAAAATACAGCGCGCGCGACTCGCCGGGCATTTTGCATATATGGATATTTTGAACAAAAATGAACATGTAAAATTTGACACAAACAAGTTGATGAATAAAAGTTCATGCCCACAAGTTCATCCAACCAAGTTCAAATGCAAACTAAAAGTTCAAGACATGAAAGACACATCAATCTTCATCTTCATCTTCCTCTTTTTCGTCTTCGTCCTCATCTTCCGAAGACGACTCTTCCGCCTCCGAAGATGAACCTTCCTCCCGGTCCACATCACGCACCGCATCATGTGAAGCTCCGACGGTGTTGGCAAGATCTTCAACAGCATCTTCATGGGAATGTGTGTGAGAAGCCATGGCGGCCGGAGGTGCACCCATGGCGGCCGGAGGTGCACCCATACCTCCCATGAGAGAAGCAAAACTCATGCCTCCCATGGCGGCCATAGCGTCGGAGGGTGCTCCAAAGCCACCCATGCCTCCCATGGCGGCCGGAGGTGCACCCATGCCTCCCATGGTGGCCATAGCGTCGGAAGGTGCTCCAAAGCCACCCATGCCTCCCATGGCGGCCGGAGGTGCACCCATGCCTCCCATGGCGGCCGGAGGTGCACCCATGCCTCCCATGCCTCCAAAGCCACCAATGCCTCCCATGGCGCCGAGGCCACCGCCTCCCATGGCGCCGAGGCCACCCATGCCTCCCATGGCGCCGAGGCCACCGCCTCCCATGGCGCCGAAGCCACCCATGCCTCCCATGGCGTCGAGGCCATCGCCACCCATTGCACGAACCAAGGCTCTTTTTCGGATCAAGACTTCTTGTTGGGCAAGATTGACATACTCCTTTTGCGCCGCATTGAGGTTAGATGTGTCCATGAAGAACAAGTACTTCTCCCATTCCAACAACTTAGCTCGCTCCTCGTTGCTCACTTTCCTCTCCTCCAAAGTCACCTTTCTCTCCTCGGCCGCCACCCTTCTCTCCTCGGCCGCCAACCTCCTCTCCTCGGCCACGGCATCTTGGGTCCTTGCCATTTTCCTCACCTCATTCGCTTTGACCCTTGCCTCCACAATAACTTCCATAGCATTTTTGAGCTCATCATCTCCTTTCTTCTTCTTCTTTTCGGTTTTGTCTTTGTTGCACCCATCCGGTCGTTTTGGCTTCGAGTATGAAACCGAGTTGGGTGTGGGGCTTCTCTTGCCGTCATCACTTGATGCATCATCCTTCTCCTCATCATCATTCATCTCAATTGCTCGCTTCCGTTTGTTGCTCAAATGCAAATCCTCCAAACCATCACGCTTCTTCCATTTCTCATCATCCTTTAACACTTCATAGCAATGAGGCAAGGTAAAGATCCTGCCTTTCTTGATCTTCCCCTTCTTGGTCTTGTCTCATTTTTGAACAAGTTTTGTGCAATGTTGAACTACAAGAAAAACAAAACAAGTTAGCACTTCGGTCACCAAAAACAAGTATGATGAACATATATGAGATGCCACTTACTCGATCATCCTCATTTGTGCCATTTGGGTTAATCTTGTCCACCGACTTTTGCGCGGCCGCCCACTTTTGACAATCCGAGTTGATTGTCGACCATCGGGACCGAAGTGATCTCTCGGAGCGGTAAATTCCACTCTTGTTGTGAGCATTATAGTGTTCTGTCATTCGCCCCCAATACGCGTCTCTACTTTGATCACCTCCAATGGATGGATCCTTGGAGACATGCAAATAAGTGTTGCATAGTAACTTGTCATCGGTGGTGGAGTAATTGCCCGCTCTTCCTCTCGACGCCTCGACAATTCCCTCACCCTCCTCGTCCACCTCAAACTCATGGTCTTCGAAATGGATGTCATTGGTTTGAGACCAATGCGAATTGTTGGACCCAACACCCATAGTGGACATGTATGCATCATCATTGAGACTACAATTTTTTTGAACAATGCAAATAAGCTATCTATATGTAAAATGATGATGCATTGAAAAAATAAGAAGAAAAAATACTTGGAAATTTTTTCACCTTGGGGGCATTTCGTCGAACACGTGGTGCGCGTCGGCGACTGGCTCAACGAGTGAGCTCGCCGGCGCTTCGGTAGCCGCCGCGGCCGTCAAACGCCCTGCAAGCTTTTCCTCCCTCGCCATGCCAGAGCCGTCCGTCGCCTTGTTCTTCTTCGCGGATGTTTTGCCCTTCTTCGTCCGTGCCACATTGGGTACCTTCTTGGACGGTGCGGCGGCGACACGGGATGGCGCCGGCGCGACGCCACCCGGCGCCGGCGCGACGCCACCCGGCGCCGGCGCCGTAGTCATCCGCGGCGGCAAGAAGAGGCTGCGCGCGAGGCCGACGCTCGGCGGAGCTCCGGCGGCGGCGACGCCAGCACTCGCCGCGCTAGGGTTTCCGGCGGCGGCAGCGGCGGCGGCTGCGGCGGCGGCGGCGGGGGGGTCGCGGATGTACAGCGGGGTGAGCGGGGCGCCGGTGTGCGCGTCCATGGCGGGGGGCAGGGCGCCGACGCCGGCGCGCGCGGGGCGTAGGACGAGGAGAGGGAGAGAGTGCGGGCGCGAGCGCTCGAGTGTGCCACACGCTGTAGCTCGCGCTCCAAATACACCACGCGGATAAGTGGTTTTGACCGCGCGCCCAACCCGTTATCGCGCGCGTGCCGTTTTTGCGCGCCCGCTGGAGCGAGCCGCCGCGTAGCGCGCGCGCTAAAAAGGCCTTTTTTGCGGCGCGGCGCTAGTTTAGCGCGGCTGTTGGAGATGCTCTAATGAAGCCATCAACCGGTAAATTTACATGATCAACTTTGAAACAAACGAGAATAATACTCCCTCCGTTCTCAAATACTTGTCTTTCTAGGCATTTCAAATGGACTCAACATATGGATGTATGTAGACATATTTTAAAGTGTAGATTCACTCATTTTGCACCGTATGTAGTCACTTGTTAAAATCTCTAGAAAGACAAGTATTTAGGAACTTGATATATCGAAGGCGTTCAACAGCGTTTCCTGGGATTGGGTGGAGGGATTGGGTGGCATGGTTGCTATCGACGTCGAGCTCTCAGTTCCTTCTTAACGGATCGGCAGGGACCAGGATCAGGCACCGGAAAGGGCTCCGCTAGGGCGACCCGCTGTCACCATTGCTTTTCATCCTTGCAATTGACCCGTTGCAGCGACTGATCGATGAGGCGGTAATGCAACAGATGATCAAGCCACTACCAAGGAGAGATCTCAAACTAAGGGTCAGCCTATACGCTGACGATGCAGTGATTTTCATGAACCCGGACAAGGAAGAGATGGATGCTTTGGTAGAGATCATGCACAAGTTCGGAGAAGCGACATGTCTGAAGATCAATCGTCAGAAATCAACTGCAACTCCGATCCGCTGTGAAGACGTTGACATCCAGCAGGTGCTGCAGAGTTTTGGGGAACTGTGGCTATGTTCCCTATGAAGTACCTAGGGCTGCCTCTTACCCTCACCAGAACCAGGATCGTGCACCTCCAGTTCGTCCTCGATCGGATCAGGGCAAGGCTGGCCGGGTGGAAAGGAAAGCTCATGACCATCGCCGGAAGAAGGGTCCTTGTCAGAGCAGTTCTAAGCGCAGTCCCTACATTCGCTCTCACCGTACTCCGCATGCCGAAGAAGTTTTTCAAAGAGATCGACAAGGTGCGGTGACGTTTCCTTTGGCACAGGATGACGAGCTTTCCGGTGGCAAATGCAAGGTCAATTGGTCCAAGGTCTGCTCTCCGTTGGACAAGGGGGGCTGGGGATCATTGACCTAGAGCGCTTTGGCACAGCTCTACGGCAAAGGTGGCTCTGGTTAACATGGAAGCACTCAGAGAGGCCGTGGGTGGGCATGGAAGTGCCGTGCTCGGAAGCAGACAAGGTTTTCTTCAGTGCGCCTACCTCAGTCACAATTGGAAATGGCCGAACTGCTGGCTTCTGGACGTGCTCCTGGTTGCCAATGGGCGCGCTCAGGGTGCTGTTTCCCGCCCTGTACCAGCACTCGAAGCGGAAGAACAGGTGTGTGGCCGATGCCCTGCACGAGGATCGCTGGATCCAGGATCTAGCGCATGGGCGCACCGAGCTGGTGGTGCAAGACTGCGTGTGTTTGGCAAGGTTGCTGCACACTGCGTCCATCTCTCTCAACCTGGACTGCGCGGATGAAATCAGATGGAACTTAGAGGCCAGTGGCTGCTACTCGGCATCGTCAGCTTATCGAGCGCAATTCCTGACAAACCATGGCTCGGTCTTCCCACAACTCATCTGGAAGACATGGGCGCCTGGGAAGCTGAAGGTCTTTTGCTGGTTGATGATGCTGAACAGCTTGTGGTGTAACGACCGATTGCAGCGACGAGGATGGCCAAACTCATACTTCTGCACATTTTGTAGGCGCAACCTTGAGACTGCTGAGCACGTCTTCTA